ACATCAATGTTTGACCTCACAAATCTGCTTCTGGAAGAATGGCCAATACAAAGACCAAATCCTAAACCTTGGAAAGCCCTCTCAGAAAAGCTGAAGCTGTTATAGCTGCAAAGGATGGGCCAACATTATATTATACCCTACTGATTAGGAGTGTGACGTCGTTCATTTCCATAAGTTTAGTTTGTTTGGATAGGTTGCGCAGTATTTATGCACACAGTGTAAATCAGGGCTATGTATAAACCTTGACACTGGCTCATGTTTAAATGAGGTCTCTATGTAGCCTTTGCACTTCAACCAGGTGTTTTGCTCAGCGACTTAATAAGAGTGATGTTTGGCACCTCTTTAGGATTCACTGTTCGCTGTTAGTTTTACACCAGGTGTAACAAGACCCACAAGCAGTCCACTGAATATTTTCCTAAAAGCGTTTGGGATCATCAAGATGTGTTTTGGCCAATGTGAGACGGGCCTCTGTGTTATTTTGGGTCAGCAGTGGCTTGGGCCTTAGAACTCTCCAATGGATGCTGTTTTTATCCAGTCTCTTTTTCTTATTATTGAATCTTGAAAACTAATCTTAACTGAAGCAAGTGAGACCTAAACAGTTTTAGATGTTGTTCTTGGTTCCTCTGACCTCCTGGATGAGTCTTTTTTATGTGCTCTTGGAGTAACTTTGGTTGGCTGCCCATTCCTGGGAAGGTTCACCCCTGTTCCATATTTTTCCAATTAAGGATAATTGCTTTCACTGTGGTCCATTGAAGCCCCAGAGCCTCAGAAATGACTTTGTAATCCTCTTCAAACTAATCCACGAGTTTGCTTCTCTATTTTTGTTTTATTTCTTTAAATCTCTGCATATTGGGTTTTGTGCCCACTTCATGTTGTCAGAAGTTTTCTTTTCAGGTGATTTCTCTATTCTCCGGGTATGGCAGTAATCAGGCCTGGGCGTGGCTAGTGATAGCTTTCTAAAAATGTGGTAAATTACTATTAAGGGTTGTTTACTCGCTTGGTTTGGATTTGAGCCATTTGAATCATCATTTGAGAACTACTTTTGCTCAGGTTATCTTTGGCTGATATTAAAATTTGATGATCTGAAGTATTTAAGTTTGACGAAAAGAGCAAAAACTGAATCTGTGGGGAGGAATCTAATATATCACCTTGTTATTTAGTGATTTTTTTATAGATCACAAGCCTGATTTATTTATTTCCTTTATTATAATTTAACCTAGCTCATCCATGCGACACCCCTCTTTATGTTTCTGATCTTCACTGAAGGGACACCCCAACCTTGTGGTCTCCTCCTGGCCTGTGATTCATATCATAATGAGACCTACATCCCAACCATCCTCTCTGTGACTCCAAAGCCCCCGCCATCGTCTCTCATCTTCCCCCGTCACCCCATCTACCTCCTCCTGATCTCCCCAAGCCCCCGAGTGGCTCGCACCATTCCGTTTCATCACACATCAAACGAGCCCGGCGCTCTCCACGCAGGGAGGACCCAGGGACCGAAACATCTGCACAGGGAGGTGTGCGTGGGAGGGTTACCCAGGCGTCCGAGCGCATGTGGAGGAGGAGGGTTTGAGCAGATGTCATCAGGACCCGAGCAGCCGGCTGGGGGGGACGCCGCGGGGAAAGAAAGATGTAGTGAGGGGAGCAGTCTGGCCTGCAGAGGGAGGACAGGGGAGATCCACCTGCTCTCCTCACCTTAGAGCTCTACTTTCCCCCTCCTGCTTCCCATTTTGACAGTACAATTAGGTAATTAGTCACCTCAGTGCTAATAACCTAATTATTGCTTGCCTCTGTGTGTCTTCTCTCTATTTAAAATTCGGTGCCCTGCTCAGCCGCTCCCAGAAGCCCCAAATTAAAAGTGGAGAGGCCAGAGGAGGCGTACGGTTACCTCTGTCTGGCATCTCCCACGGCACACAGGAGGCTGCCAGGGCTCTGATCTCGACCAGAGAGACCCCGCTCTTTGGAGAGGGTCAAGATCACTCTCACAACCATTAACACCGAAGCCAATTCATCAGTGCCTCGTCGTGTCAGGCGCAGGCTGCAGGGGGACTGTGATCATCGCTGACATTTCCCCGGTTAGGAAAGTGGCAATCCGGAGCGTTTTTTTTGCTGTCAGCCAGTCATCAAAGGGCTTGTCTGAGAACAGCTGTTGACGTCAGCGTGCGGCTACAAGTGTTAACTCTTCTCCAGATATGAAGGAGATTTTTCTAACCAATCTGCATGTGCATCAGGCAGAGATCTAACTTCACAGGCGTGTTACCTGTCCTCCAACAGGAGTCATATTTTGACACAATTCTCTGGAGGAATATGGAGTTCATAAGCTTAAAAGCTTCACACAAAGAGACCACCCGACATTCAGGCTCATCTCAAGACATGAGAATATCATTAAAAAGTTTATTTATTTTAGGAATTCAGTTCAAAATGTAAAACTCACATGTATAGGTTCATTATACACAGAGTGATCATAATTCAAGGAATCATTTGTTAATTTCAATGATTATTGCTTAATGAAAATGCATTTTTTTAAAGAAATTTGAATATTACACCAGTTTCAGAACCATCATCAACAGATTCCCACACCAGAACATCTTTGAGCAGAGACACAAAAATGTCTGATCAACTTGTTGGAATTCAGTCACAATAAATGTTTTTGCTTCATAAAATGTGTTATTTTTGTCTAATTTTTGTAAAATGTTCTGCGAACATTTTGTTTTTTTCTTTACGACCTCAGACATCCTCAGCAACTCTTTCTCTAAAACCGCCACCCGGTTCCGAATCCAAAGCGAGGATCATCCAGACATCCAAAAGCTGGTATCAGCAGGGATCAGCACTGCCTGCCATTTTCAGAGTGACCTCCGGACAAACAGAACTGCTGTTTGAACTGAAGCTGACTGCTCCTTTGGCCAAGAGTTAGATTGACCCGGGAGAACCGCAATGCAGAAACTCAAGTGGTTCTGAGAAAGTTAACAGCATCATCTTACCCAGTTCTGTTCTGATGTGGGAAGATCATGGATCAAAGGTGGAAAGATGGTTCCTAAACTTTGAATTTCTTGTCTTTTTCCTTAACATTTCAAAATTAATATTAAATTTCAGCATTCTTGGCTTTAAAATCCCTTGCTTGAAACTCCTATAGGGCCCTAAAGACCTTTGACTTGACTTGGACTCGTTGTCTGAGACTCGAGTCTTAGTAACAGTTTTTATCCCGGGTAACGAAGAGTGAAAGGAAGCTGGGATGTGAGCTACAGACTGCGAATGCTGTATTTAATGACTTTGGATCATTTCAGAACAAAACGAACACAATTTACCTCCGACATTCTCTCACTGCTAAGCTAGCTGCTACATTACAAGGACACTTCCAGCTGAAAACATCAAAATAAAAGCACTTCTTGTCCTGTTAATTCAGAAGTTTACAATTCATTTACACAATTGAGAACAAATGTTTTAAATGTGGATTTAGAAAATGGTTTCCCAATATTTTTAAAACTTCCTCAGAGTGCGAAGAAAACGCTCCAAACCAGTTTTAGTGCAATATATAATGAACGAGTGAACAATATGAAGACAGGGACAAACTGCTGTAAACAAAGACAAAGAAGCCCTTTGTTTGATTCATTCAGAAATTCAACATTAACAGGTTTTAATCTCTTTCTATTATTTTTCTTACCGCATAAATGTTAAGATTATATAAAACAGCCTTTAGCAGTTTTTTTGGGGGGCAAAATAAATGTTAAATGATTAAAAGATAACTGTTGATAAATATTAAACGACTCAAAGATAATTTTTAAATGTTCATGTGGTAATTTAGGCGTAAGAAAAACAGTACAGGTTTGGATTCCTAACCTACAGCAATGCAAAGTTAGAGGTGACCAAGATGTCATGGATTTGATGAGAAAAGGCTTATTTCAGTCGTTAGATACTTGACTTGGAAAAAATGTATATCTCTGGTCCGAGTCAAGTCTCATTTTAATTCAGTTCAATTCATATTATTTATATAGCACCAATTCACAACACACATGTCGTCTCAAGACAATTTACAAAGTAAATTTTGTCCAATTATGCAGATTTTAAGTCAGGTACATACATTCCAATTAATCCTAACTATCAAACAGTGCAGTCAGATTCAGTTATTTATTCAAAGTGGTTAAACATTTTTTCTATCTAAGAAAACCCAGCAGATTGAATCGAGTCAAGTGACTTGCAGCATTCACTCCTCCTGGATGAGCATGTAGAGACAGTGGACAGTCACTGGCGTTGACTTTGCAGCAATCCCTCATACTGAGCATGCATGTAGCAACAGTGGAGAGGAAAACTCCCTATTAACAGGAAGAAACCTCCAGCAGAATCAGAACCAGGCTCAGTGTGAGCCGCCATCTGCCACGACCGATTAATTATATGTTAATCTTTTACCATTCAGAGTTCTGCATCCAGACATATTCATGGGAAGTTTGTAACTAATTTGGTGGTTTGCTTTGGGTATTTGATCATTTGGAAGAGCCATTTCCAACCAAGCTTTAACTTCCTGGGTGTCGTTTCTAAACCTCGCTTCACATTTACACGTAATCCTACTTCCTCATGAAGCTGAGTATTTTGTGAAATGCAGAAAGCATAAATGGCCTCCATAACATCTATATTTGATCAATGGACTTGTTTAAAAGTCTAAATACAAACTGTGCCAAGTTTGTTTGCAGGAATGTCACGCTGACTGATTTCTTTAGGTTTCCCAGTGAAGGACGCGGTGTGTTTGAGGTGTTGCCTTAAAATACATCCACAGGTGTGCCTACAGTCAACTCAAATGTTGTGAGGCTACTAAAGCCACTACGCCATCCTCTGGGCTATCCCAAATCAGTTGAACACATTTTAATCTTGTAAAATTAAACATAATCTCTAAAAACGTGTCTCTCTCATTAGTCTGGAGCAAATATAAATACATTTGGCAATCCTAACAGACCTAGAACAACAAACATGTTTAGTCCATTTTAATGTCAAACAATGAAAAAGTGGGCTGCATGGTGGTGCAGTGGTTAACACTGTTGGCTTGCAGCAAGAAGGTCCTGGGTTCAATCCCCGGCCGGGGGTCTTTCTGCATGTTCTCCCCGTGCATGCGTGGGTTCTCACCGGGGACTCCGGCTTCCTCCCACAGTCCAAAAACATGACTGTTAGGTTAATTGGTCACTCTAAAATTGCCCTTAGGTGTATGAATGAGTGTGTGCATGGTTGTTTGTGTGTTGCCCTGCAATGGACTGGCGACCTGTCCAGGGTGTACCCCACGTCTCGCCCATAGACTGCTGGAGATAGGCACCAGCTCCCCCGCGACCCACTATGGAATAAGCGGTAGAAAATGACTGACTGACTGACATTGAAAAATGTATGCGTCTTTTTATTCAATGTATGCAACTATCTGGTAGTTAACATGGAGCCATTAATTAATCCAATAATGTAACGACTTACATATGGGGCCCTAATGTAAATGCTGGCTGAGATGCAGTGTGTACTGAGAACAAATGTGGAAACTAGACCGGTGGTGGACATAAGAAGGTGAGGCCTGATACAATCTACAACAGATGAACCCAGTCTGAAAGTCATGTCTTTGATAAACATCCATCAAAGATCTGACACAGCAGCTGTGGGCTGCATTAACTTCAAGTCTACTGGATACTAGAGGTTTCCTTAGCTAAGAGCTCTTTGGAAATCTCCTTGTTTGAGTTAAAATCCTATTTTCTCATGGTATTTTCAAGGTGTTTTCTCATTCATGTTACAAAAATATTAACAATTTGCATACTTATTTGATGTGATTAGGAGATACCTGAGTTTTGAAATGTATTCTCTTGTTGAGGATTGACAACTAGAATCCAAGGAGCAGGGAAAGATCCCATGAAAACCCCTCTCCCCTCTTTCTCATTATGTAGTTTGATGTTTTTGGTTTGAGGAGTTTGAGTCACCTGCAGCACCAGCATCAGCAGCTGTCATGTCATCCTCCTTACCGCTGGGCTTTCCCTGAGCCAAACGGAGAGGGAATCAGAGCTCGTAAGGATGCCGGATGTTTGGGTTTCAGAGTACACTGAAAAGAAAAGATCAAGGCGAGTTATTTGTAAAATCTAATGTTGGATTCCTCAATATACCGATAAAGAACTGCAAAAAAACCTCAGTTTTTAAGTGTACTGTGGGGGTTATTAGTGTGGAAGCCTCACTGCGTACATCTATACTTGTGTACAAATGATTTTTTCTTGATGAATAAAACATCTAAACCTAATGTGGAGAAATTTTAACCACAGAGGAGAGCATAAAAGAACAGGAAGATAAATCTAATTGATTCAGCCACTCGCAATATTCTCGCCTGTAACAAACTCCTGCAAAATGGATTTCTCATCTAACTCGCCTTTATTAGGCCCAGCTGAGTGTACAGCTTTCTCTTGACGTCAGGGTTGCCGTACTTTATCACTGCTCTGGGTAATGAGAGATAAGTTTCCTCCAACTCCGGTGCTGCTAATGTTGTGTGGTTTTTGCACCACCAATTACTCAGAGTTTGTTGATGTTTCTTCCATTTGTTTCAGTGAAGGAAATTTGCATCACATAACCAGAGGCCTGCTGTAGGGCTAACCGAGCTGGGTTGTAATAAATTCTCAGTCTCCGGCTGTTTGACAAAGTACCCGAGGATTTGCTAATGGCCAGACTGCAGCAACAGAGGTCACGGCTTCATTCTGACATGTGGGGAGTGTCATAAACTCTCTTGGCTGAGTAGTCTGGTCAAACCTGGTTTTTCAACATCAACAACTTGATTTTATTGATGCCAGAAGTGCAGTTATTGGACTTATTTTCTGTATTTGCTTGTTTACTTGCAGCTACAAGATATTTGGTAAACGTTTGTGAATTACTCAGACTTTGGCTCATTTTTTTGTAATTTTACACCTGATATTTCATTGCTAAATTGTGTTTTTACAACATTAAAAGTGGGGTTTTCATGGAGAACGTCAATAAAAAGAGCATATCAAGACTTTCAGCCACTGATTCTGTTACCACTGCATTACATCGGCTCATCTTTTAAAGGGTCAAGTTGTAAACCTCACAACCCTTGTTTTCCAGTTTTGTAGGAGAAGCTTAAGGCTTTAAAATAAACCCACCCAATATTTTAAGGCTGGCTTACTGGCCAGTGCTTCCAGTAAGCATGGATAACTGGTTGTTCATTCCTCAGAGTAATAAGACTTATAATTTTGCTTCTCTATTCAAGCGCCTGGACCATAAAAATCAGTCTCTCCACCCTAATTAGTTGCATATTTGTTTGATTAACTCTGCGCACTGAGGTTGATATAATGTCTGAATATCAACTTCTCCCTCACATCACAGGGTGTATCATCTGATTGACAGGCAGCCCTCAACTCCGATAAAGGTGGAGATAGAAAGGGTGGCTGCTTCCTGCTGTCTCATATTTGTTGTATTTGACAGGTGCAGCCAGGCATCCGGGAGTCCTGGTGGAGCTCTGCGTCGTTTATGCAGATTAACACGTCAAAAGTACAAATGAATAAATAAACTGGTGAGCTCAAATCAGGCATTTAGCCCGAGGCGATGGCATCATTAACAGATTAAACAAAGTGACTAATCACAAAAACAATCCGCTTCAGAAGTGGGAAGAGTTAAGAGACGCCAAAGCGCGGGGCTAAAAAGCTAAGCTATCTTAATTATTCAACAACAGGCAAACAAAGAATTCATAAATAAATAGTGCAATGAAAATAAAAATATAATTTGCTAGCAGATACAGCAGTTTTGAGATGAGAGAAGCTGTTCAGCTAAATAGAATGGGATAAAATTAAGATGATCTCGGCGAGTTTTGGGAGAGGGATCCCAGAAAGAGAAGGTGTAGGACATAGAAGGTCTGATAACCAATACCAGACCAAAAGAGACCCAAGCTGGGTGTTTTGACTCATCCAAAACAAACCCATATGAGATGATCCTAGGTCTTCAGAATGAACTCACCTGGACAATTCCACTCCTAAAGTCTTGAAGATGCCTCACAAACCTGGGATTTTCATCCCTTTAATATATAAATTCAATAATGGTCAAAACTAAGTACATCCAACATGTTCTGTAGCAATAACTCTCAGACGTTTTCTTTCTGGTTTTATTATCCCCCACATTGTTGTGGAGGAGGTTTAGGTACTCGTTTTCATTTGTCTTAAAGTCTCATTAACATCTTAATTTCAGTTTCTTCTGGTTTTCTGTTGTAGTTTTGCTGCTCTGTTTTGGTGTCATTGTTCTGTCAATGACCCAGTTTTGGGTAACCTTCAGATCTCGTACAGATTTTTAAGATAGTGTGGCTCTAATGGCCTTTACTCACATATCAGACAGGAAAGTGGTGGAAGGAGAAGGTGGAGGACATGCAGTTAAAGCCCTGAGTTTGAGAGTCGAACTCTGACGGCTGTGTCGACTACTAACCGCCTTTTATATGGGATGACGCTGCAATACTACAATACTGTACACCGCAGCACATGGTTTACTCGACGACTGCCAGGTGCCTAGGTCTTGTGGCTACCAAACAAGCCCAAATCATCACTCCTCCAACACCATGTTTGACAGTTGGTATGATGTGTTTGTGCTGATATGCTGTATTTGTAGTAGTTTTCTCCAAATATTATGGTGTTTGTTATAGTTGCACATCTCTACTTAAGTATTTTCTGTCCACAGGACATTGTTTCCAGAATCCTGTGATTCATTCAAACCTAAGTCATGCTGCCGTAGTATTTTCGTAGAGAAGAGGGTTTCTCTTGGCAACCCTTCCAAACAAGCTCTGCTTCTTCAGTCGTTTTTTATTCTTCTTTAATTAATTTTAATACAAACATGCTAACTGACACTATTGTCTGATATGGAGCTCTTGGGTATTTTACAGTTTCTCCAACCATTGCACAGCCAGACATAAAGATGAATTTGATGGAGTTTTCCCTTCTGATTTATAACTGTCTTATCAGTTTTCAACTTGTGAATAATGTTTCTCTCTGCAAAATAATTAAATTGAAATGTACTAACTGTACTAACAGTCATGTCTTGAGCAGCCCTCACCCCAGCTTCAACATCCTTCATTCCTGTACACAACTCAGCTGTAAACACGTCCTGAATTGGCCTAAAAGGGCTCTGGTTTTCCAGACATCTCTCCATGCGCGCTGCAGACACCAGCCTCCTTTGACCTTCACACCAAGCTGCGGCCTGAAACCTCGCCTATTGATTTTTCTAACTATCTGTTTACTCCTCCTCTGCACACTTTCCCAGCTGCTTGGAGAGCATCGCTTGCCCCGAGGCGATCAGCAGGGCTCAGCTTGTTCCAGTCTTTGATCATCGTTCAGCCAGCGGATTAACATATGCACACTCTCTTCCTCCCTTTGTCGCTGGGCTTGATAATAAATCTACAACCCTTCCTGCATCACTCCCTCTCTCTCTGCCTTGCTCCAAGAAGGGACGAGCCATGAATCAATCACTGCGCTTTATGCGTCGTGTCCGACATGGATGCAAATCACAGAAGGATCTGTGGGTAAAGCTCTGCTTATTAAAACCCGATGCCGTACTCATTACGAGGCTGCCTCATGCACATGCATGTCGCCAAGGCGAACAGCAGGTAACACTGGTGAAATACAGCAGCACTGGTGGAGATAAAACACAGACAGACAAGATTAGCCGATTTCTAAGACTATTATCTCAACAGAGGCCAAAACTAAGCCTCATCCGCTCTGCCAACCCTAAAGGAGAATTGAAAGCTGATGAAGTTAATTACCGAGACATTGTGGGAGGTTAAAGCGTTGTCTAAAAGATGCTTAATCGGAGGGGAAACTGCAGGGCAGAGGTTTGGGTTCGTAGCTGCCCTCGCTGTGCAGTAAGTATCCTAATTAGGGTTAGTTTGAGTCTACAAACCATCCCAGTTAGCTCACTTAAAGGGCCAGGGCTTCTGGGGTTTAAAAACACTATCAGGACTCTGCAAACAGGACAGCAGATAAATGTATGAGAAGCAGGAAGCAGAATTCATGGTGGGCATGTGGCTTTTTTCCTCAGAAACTAACCTATCTGCTCTCTCTAAGGCCACTGCATCAACACGCCCTCGCTCCCCGT